TGAAAGTTCATAGCCCTTGGCTGTGCAATAAAGAGCTTTTTGTTTTCCTAGTCAGGGAGAGACTTTCTAGCTACTACAATCCAGTCCGAGGGTGTAGAAAACAGCAGTTGATACTGAAGAGGCTAAATAGCTGGAATTCAAGTGATGGCAGTGTGGTGACATCACCAGAAAACATCTACAGCTATGCCATTTTGGGTTACATATTCAGCTCCTTTGCTCTTTGGAATATATTATTCCATTCCCTTGTGCAGTTTCTGATGGGTACATAATTGTCTTATGCTATTCAAATTTTCTTTCTTTTATGTTTGAAGGTCTTTTTCCTGACCACTTCCAGAATTTATCATTGCAATTTATCATTTATCATTGCAATTGTTAAATTTAACCATGTTGACTGGATTCATTATAAATTTATATCACATAATCCTCAACTAGGCCCTCATTCCTGCAAGGCAATCCTTTTACATCTCCCTAATTAACTCACTATCCCACTCATCCCAGTTGCTTTTCTAAACCTTGTAATCCCTCCTCAAAATTTCTATGGCTTCCCCTTCTCCCACCCTCTCAGTTGAGTGCCTTGCACTCAATTTTACTGAAAAAATTGAGGCCACCCACCAAGAGCTCCCTCTTCTTCCTTTCTCCTCATCTCATATTGTCCAGATGCCTTTTACCACTGTTTTCCTTCACCCTTTTCCTTACTAAGGCAAACCCGTCTATGTGTACAAGTGATCTCATTCCATCTCTCCTTATCCAGCAGATTGTCACCTCTATCATCCCCATGCTTTTACCTATCTACAATCTCTCCTTTTTTATTGGTTACTTCTCTACTGCCTACAAACCTACCCATAGCACCCCCATCCTCAAAAACATCCTCGCTTGACCCGTATATCTCCACAATTCTATGTCTTTCCTCCCTTTTGTGGCTAAACTCCTTGAAAAGGGCATTTATAATATATACCTCCACTTCCTTTCCTCTTACTTTTTTTTTTTAAATTCTCTACAATCTGGTTTCCAAATTCATCATTTAGTCAGAACTGGTCTCTCTGAAGTTACCAATGATTTCTTGTCAAATTTAGTGTTCTTTTTCAATCATCATTCTTCTTGACCTCTCTGCAGCTTTTGACACTGTCCATCACTCTCTTCTTCATATCATCTTCTCTCTACATTCCGGTGGCACTACTCTATCCTGGTTTTCCTCCTACTTGTCTGATTGCTCCTTCTCAGTTTCCTTTGCTGGATCTTTTTCCAAGTTATGCTCACTGATAGTGGGTGTCTCCCAAGGCTCTGTCCTGGGCCCCCTTCTTTTCTCCCTCTATACTATCTTACCTGGTGATCTTATCAATTCCGATGAATTCAATTATCATCTATATGCTTATGATTCTCAGATCTTCTTTTCAGCTTTAACCTCTCTGCATACCTCAAGATTTTCATCTACAATTGCCTATTAGATATTTTAAGTTAGATGTTTCACGGACATTTTAAACTCACCATATCTAAAACTGAACTCTGAAACCCTCCCCACTTCCAAACTTCCCTATTACTATGATCTCCTTTCTTTTTAAAAATTAGTTAATTCATTTTTAGTTTTTAACATTCACTTTTATAAGATTTTGAGTTCCAAAATTCCCCCTTCCCCTACTCCATCCCCAAGACAGCATACAAACATATTAAACATATTTCCATGTTAGTCATGTGGTGAAAGAAGAATCAGAACAAAAGGGAAAAACCATGAAAAAGACAAAACAAACAAAAAAGAAAATAGCATGCTTTGATTTGCATTCAGACTCCATAGTTCTTTTTCTGGATATGGATAGTGTTTTCCATCATGAATCTTTTGGAACTGTCTTCGATCATTGTATTGCTGAGAAGAGCTAAGTCTAGCAAAGTCGGTCATGACACTACGTTGCTGTTACTGTGTACAATGTTCTCCTGGTTCTGCTCACTTTATTCAACATCAGTTCATATAAATCTTTCTAGATTTTTCTGAAATCTGCCTGTTTAACATTTCTTATAGAACAATAGTACTCCATTACATTCACATACCACAACTTGTTTAGCCATTCCCCAACTGATGGACATCCCCACAATTTCCAATTCTTTGCCACTACAAAAAGAGCTGCTACAGATATTTTTGTACACTTGAATCTTTTCCCCTTTTTTTATGATTTATTTGGGATGCAGACCTAGTAGCGGTATTGCTGGATCAAAGGGCATGCCCAGTCTTATAGTCTTTTAGGCATAGCTCCAAATTGCTCTCCAGAATGGTTAAATCAGTTCAACACTCCACTAACAAGACATTAGTGTTCCAATTTTCCTACATCTTCTCCAACATTTATCATTTTCCTTTTTTTTGTAATAGCCAATCTGATAGGTGTGGGGTAGAACCTCAGCGTTGTTTTAACTAGCATTTCTCTAATCAATAGTGATTTAGAGCATTTTTCATATGACTATAGATAGCTTTAATTTCCTCATCTAAAAACTGCCTGTTCATATCCTTTGACCATTTATCAATTGGGGAATAATTTGTATTCTTATAAATTTGACTCAGTTCTCTATACATTTTAGAAATGAGGCCTTTATCAGAGACACTGGCTGTAAAAATTGTTTCCCAGCTTTCTGTTTCCCTTCTAATCTTGGTTGTATTGGTTTTGTCTGTGCAAAACTTTTTTAATCTAATGTAATAAAAATTATCCATTTTACATTTCATAATATTCTCTGTCTCTTATTTGGTCATAAATTCTTCCCTTCTCCATGGATCTGACAGGTAAACTATTCCTTGCTCTCCCAATTTGCTTATGGTATCACCCTTTATGTCTAAATCATCTACCTATTCTGACCTTATCTTGGTACATGGTGTAAGATGTTGATCTATGCTTAGTTTCTACCATATTATTTACCAGTTTTCCCAGCAGTTTTTGTCAATTAGTGAGTTCTCATCCTAGAAGCTGGAATCTTCGGGTTTATCAAACAGTAGACTACTACAGTATAGTATACTGTAGCCATTGACTACTATGTCTCCTGTACTTAACCTATTCCACCACTCTATTTCTTAGCCAGTACCAAGTAGTTTTGATAATTGCTGCTTTATAATACAGTTTTAGATCTGGAATGGCTTGGCTACCTTCCCTTGCATTTCTTTTCACTAATTCCGTTGATATTTTAGACTTTTTGTTCTTCCCAATGAATTTTGTTATTTTTTTCTAGCTCTATAAAATATTTTGGTAGTTTAATTGGTATGGTACTGAACAAGTAAATTAATTTAGATAGAATTGTCATTTTTATTATTTTAGCTTGGCCTACCCATGAGCAACTGATTTTTTTTTTTAGTGTGATCTCCTTTCTTGTAAAAAGACTTCCTATACAGCTTTGCTATTTAAGGATTCTATCGAGGTGATTTCTAAGAAGGAAAGAAACAAGCATTTATTAGGCAGCTACCACGTGCTAGGCACTATGCTGAGGTCTTTACAAGTATTATTTCATTTGATTCTCACAACTCTTTCCACCCATGAAATACTGTGATTCCAAATTCTGTCTGGTAGTGGTCTGTAGAGTCTAGATTATCCATGTTTTAATATCATCAAGCTTTTCCATTCCTAACTTTCCATCCTAAATAGTTGTTTTTTTTAATTATTCCCTCAATTCTTTAAACTTTTTAGTTTTTGGTGCCATCACCATGCTGGAAAACTGTTTCTGTAGTAAAATAATTCTATCTTGAAATGAAAGAAAAAAAAGTTTTACTTTTATTAAGTGAAGCTGTACCATATAGGTTGAATAGCTGGGTAGAATTGTAGGGATCATCCCGTGGAAAAACTACTTTGTTTTCAGCTTCTGTGGTCTCAGAAAGTCTCTGGGACAACCCTCAAAAAAACCCCACCACTGACATCATAATTGTTAGTCACAAGAATGAACCTCCAAATTGGACATAATTTGGAAAGAAATTTATTTGGTCGTTTGATAGAATACAGAGCTAGAAGAAGGTGTGTTTCCTGCTCTGTGAGGTTTACGTTATAAACAGTTCAGATAGAGGCATAAGGACTTTTGCCTGATTGGTCTCACATAGGCAGAAACTCATTCCTCTGTATAAATGTTTTTAGAGGCATATTCTTTAACTCATCTAAATTCTCACAAAAAAGAAGTAAAACTTGAAGGTAAGTTCCTTGAGGGCAGTAACTGTTTTTATTATTTACTTATTATTATTGTCATTATTATTATTATTATTATTATTGTTGTTGTTGTTGTTGTTGTTATGATGATGATGATGATGATGATGATGATGTCTTTGTATTCCTGAGGCCTAGCACAGTTTCTTGTTTGATTTTGTTGAACTGAATGGGTAATTTTCACTGCTACTTTCCAAGGGTTACTTCTATAAAGTACAGCAGTGTAGACTATTCTGGTGGTTGGCAGGAGACACCTTGTGGCCAAAATGGAGCACTATATCCAGTGATCTACTGAGGTCTGTGCAAGGAATGAGGAACAGGACTTTTTTTTCTGTATATCTAAGGTAGTTGGGGATAAGTGACTTTGCCCAGAGTCACACAGCTAGTGAGTGTTAGGTGTCTATCCACTGTGCCACCTGGTTGCCCCCATAGACCTCCTTAAGACTCTGTTTTAGATAATGTCACTGAGCCTTGGAGAGGTGGACACTTGCTCAGCTCTTCTGGTGACTAGACCAGTCCCAGAATCTTAGAGTAGAAAGGTACCTTCATAGGTGCAACGTCTAGTTGCAACCTGTGTTTGGCAGTGAATTTCCTCTACCATAATCCTGACTAGTGGTGATCCATGGTCTTGATCAGCTTGCTTACAATTTGCCTTTTCTTTATGGAAGCGCTAACCTTATTAATACTTCCCCATGTATTCTTGATAATGTCATCTCCATTTTACTTGTTTCCCAGCATTCATTTAGCTAGGCTTAATTTGTATTTATCACACAGAGGGGGAAATTAGAGTCACAGCACAATGAATGACAAATCTCAAATACTTACTTTTTTCGTCTTCTGAAGATAGGTCAATGACCATGAAGACCCATGTGCAGTGTTTGCCAGGATACAAGAACAAAAGCTGTTGTGGGGAATGGCCTTGAATCACAGGCAGAGATGCCGTCTAGAATAAAGAAAATATTGAAGGAAATGTAATAACAAAGAGCTTTGGAGACCATGTTTCTTATGAATGTGCATGTGAGTCCTTGAACTTATGGGAAAAAAAATAGCTTCAGCCTCTTAAATCAAGCTACTTGTAGATTCTCTGTGCAACACTGATATTTGGATGTTACTTTTCTTCTCATCATTTAAAATGCATCAATTGGAGTACATCTCTTACATATATTGAGAACCAGGCATTTTGTTTGTAGTGATGCCAGCATGAACCAGCTACATTTCTCCCTTAGGGCTTTTGTGGGTACCCCTCGATAGTCAGTGGCTTCTTTCTCTAATGCTATAGGCTCAAGCCTCCATTCCAGTGTGTTCCTTACGATTGTTAGCCATCAGTGATAAGGGCCTCACTTTCATTTCGCCAGTTAACATTGATTAGCTTCTATAAAGGGATATTTACTTCAAAAATATAGCAAGAACAGAAATATAAACATTTTCCCCGCATATGCTCTATCTTATACCACCATAACCCAGGGGAGGGTGGGCTCAGACTTAACATCAGTCCCATCAAATTCACATCCAAATCCAAGATAGCTGGTGGATGAGTTGTGTTTCAGTTACAGCCTGGATAGGTCCTAAAGGTTCTTCCTTGGGTCTCAATCCTGGGCTGGCTGGAAGAAAGAAAAGAAAAAGGTATTTATTAAGTTCCCCAAAACTCTGTGAGGTAGGTCCCCATTTTATAATTGAAAAAAAAACTGAGGCAAACAGATTAAGTGACTTGCCCAGGGTCATACAGTTAGTGTCTGAAGCAGAATTTGAATTCAGACCTTCCTGACTCCAGGCCAACCGCTTTCATAGACTTAAATCCCAAATCTCCTGATGGCTGTCTCAATTGACCTTTTGAATATCACAGGGTTATATCAATCTCCAATTTCCTTCACCTGGAAGCTGTAAAGAATGGATAGCTATAAAGAATAGAAACAGAAGCAACAGCAGAGATATGCACTTTGGCTTTATTCCATCTCTGGGTGAGAGAGGACCTGAGGCACATGCCCACTTGAGTGTCCAAAGCAGCTCATCCTCCTCCAATGCCAGCAAGTTTGGGAAGAGCCCTCACCGAAAGATTGGCCCTACCTAACTAGTGCTTCTTTGAATGCACCTCCGGTTTGGATATGCAGCCAATCACCAGTCTGACTCCTCATAATGTGATTAGCAGACCAGAAACAGAAAATATCCACACCAGCTCCAAAGTCCATTTTGGGTTTGCATGAGCCAGGTAGTCTATGCATGCACATAAGAACTGGGCTCATTGGCTAATTTCCCATTACATTGTTTAGGGGGTCATTTTGTTGTTGTGATTGAGCTGGGCTGAGAAGTCAAATAACCTGACTTCTCATGTCCTAATATGCTTTAAGTTGAATAATTATTGCTTCCTCTATCATGAACTGGTATTATGGTATACATATGATGTGTGAAATAGGACAATTAAGCAGTGAAGATGACTAAGAGGGAAAGAAGAATGACTCAGTGTCATAAATGCTAAGGATTTTCATATGCAAGAGAAATTGATCAAGGGTGACTCTAATCAATTTAATAAGTTCCCCAGCCTTTGTATCCTCAGTGCAGTCAAACGTTAGGCACTGGCAGATAGTTGGTGCTTAATGAAGGCTTACTGACTGCCTAGCAATGAATCTAATGAGATTACAGAATATGATTCTTAGTTTTTATGCATCTAAAAGGCACCTCACATGTACACTGGCACCTTGCTAACAGAATACAGAGAATTCCTCTGATTGATTTCCAGTGACTTTTATCTGGGGAAGTCACTTTTAGTGGGTGGCTTCATGGAGGAGGTGGCATTCAGATTGAATCTTAAAGGAAAATAAGTATTTTGACAAGCAAAGAGGAGAAAGGAATACATACTAGCCATCTTGCAGAAGTTCATCAAAGTGGGAAATGACCATAGTGAATTTGAAGAACAGCTAAGTGAAATTTAGCTGAAATGTATTGTGCAACAAAGGGAGTACTGTGAAATGCAACTATAAAGATGAGTTGGAATGAGATTGTGGGAGGTCCTTAAGGGCCAGGCTAAGCACTTTGCATTTTATTCCGAAGGCCTTTAGAACCACTAAAAGGGGTGTGTTTTACGTAGGTTGGTCATTAGTTTTTGTAGTTGAAGGACAACAGTGGTTTTTCATGCCATAGGTTATGGTTAGAATTCATACTGAAATAATGGAGATGATGATAGTTTATTTGTTTTCTTTTTTGTAGGTTATTGGTTTTGTGGCGTTTGCTTCTAAGCCTTCTCCTGTGTACAGTGGTTTGAGTTTGGGGGTTAGTGGGGGTTTGGGGTGTGCGATTGGTGTGAGTTTAGGAAATACTTTTTTAGGTTTAGTTATGTTTTTAGTCTATAGTGTTCAGTACTGCTTAAAGGAGAAAGAGAATGAGAACAGATAAGAGGCCGCAAATGTTAGCTATAAAAGATAATTGATTAGCAAAGAATAAGAAACAATCCATATTTTAATAACTGGAGAATGGCTCAACAAATCATGATTTATTAATATAATGGAATAGTACAGTACCATAACTCTTCCCCCTCTCTCCCTTCCCCCTCCCCTTCCAAATCATACACACAAAGAAATAGGGGAAATGGAAAAACCTGCCTAATGCAGGTGAAGAATTCAACATATTTTCTGGTTGGATCCTTTAATGGTTTAGTCTTATGACTGAAAGGTCCAAAGCAGTGGGCTTGCATCCCATTTATGTAGATATGGATTTCAGCAAACCATGTCTTTATAGACAAAATTAAGGGAAGCATATGAAATGATAAAGTTAAGTGGATTCAGAATTGTTTGAGGTCAATTTGGAATGCACCAGAGGAGTGCGTCAGTGCCAAGGATAGATTTTTGGTCTTTTTCCATTCATCATTTTTATTAGTGGCTTGAATAAAGACACAAATGACATGCTTATCACAGTGGTGAATGATACAAAACTGGGAGGATTATCTAACTCATTGGCTGACAGAGTCATTATACCAAAAGGTCTCAATAGATTAGAAAGATGGTCAATTCTAATAAGATGAAATTTAATATGGATAGGCTAAAAAATGAAAGGGATGACATTATGGAAGAAGCACATGGCTCCAGAGGAAGGCAAACAAGATAGTGAGGAGACTTGCAATCATGTCATGCCCTTATTAGTTATATGAGTTGGTGATATTTAGCCTAAAGAACAGATGACTTGGAGGGGACTAAGAAGAACATGAAGATGAAGACTTAGCTATTTTTAATCATTTGAAGGACTGTCATATGTAAAAAGGCTCAGGCTATTCTGCTTGACTTCAGAGGGTAGAACTATGAGCAATGAATGGGAGATGCTGAGTCAGATTTTGGCTCATTACATGAATGAACTTTGGAAGAAATCCAACCTATTAAGAGCCACATGAAAAATGCTCCAAATCACTAATAATTACAGAAGTGCAAATTAAAATAACTCTGAGGTTCTACCTCGTAGCCATCAGGTTGACAAAAAATGAAAAAGACACATTTTAAGGGCTGTGGAAAAGCAGGCAGATTAATGTACTCTTGATGGAACTATGAATTGGTTAAGCCATTCTGGAAAACAGTTTGAAACCATAACCTAAAAGTTGCTAAAGCATTCAGATTCTTTAACTTAGCAATACCACTACTAGACCCAAAGAGATCAAAGTAAGAAAAGCACCCATATTTATCAAAATATTTACAGGAGCTCTTTTTTTTTGTAGTGGCAAAGAACTAGAATTTAAGGGGATGTGTATCAATTGGTAAATGAATGGTTGAACAACTTATGGTATATAAATGTGATGAAATGTTATTTTACTGTAAGAGATGACAAAAGGAACAGTTTTCAGTGGAAGGCTTGTATGGGAGGGTTTGCATGAACTGATACAGAATAAAGTGAGCAGAACCAGGATTACAATTTATACAATAACAACACTGTAAAAGACGAAGAACTTTGGAAGACTTCAAAAATCTGATACGTGCAGTTACCAACCATGATTCCAGGGGATTGGAATGAAGCATGCTGTCTACCTGCTGACAGAAAGGTAAAGGACTCCAGGTACATAATGAATCATATATTTTTTGGACATGGCTATTGTGGGAATTTTGTTTTACTTAACTATGCATATTTGTGATAAAAAATTTTGTTTTTCTTTCTTTCAAATTTGGGGTTGAGAAAGAGAAAATAATAGATTTTTGTTAATTAAAAAACCCCCAAAATTAAACTTAAAAAATTATTTCCTAACAACTAAAGCTAAAAAGTGGAATTGACTGCCTTGGGAGGATATGGGTTTCCCATCATCAGAGGTCTTCAAGCAGAGGATGGATGACATCCTGTCAGAGATGTCCCCTTTCTGTTCAAAGAGTTGGTTCAGATGACCCCTGAGATTACTTTGAACTTTGTAATTCATTGATCCTGTGTCTCTAACTATAGGAGGACATATAGTTTAGGGAAAGAATACTAGCCTTGGGGTCAGCAGTCTTGGGTTTAAGCTCTTACATTACTAGTTGTGTGGCTTTGGGCAAGTTATCTCACCTCTTTGGATCTCAGCTACCTCATTGGTAAAATGAAAGGTTTAGACTAGATGAGTGGTCTAAGGTACATTTCTGTATCTTACAACCTATAGTTCCATGATATCACCTGGAATTTTCAGGTAATCTGCTCCTGTTCTGTTAGTGTCATGCCCAGGAAGATCTTGGAATCTGAAAGAACCCAGTTCTGCTGCATGTGATGACCCAGGAGTTCTAATTTCAGGGATGGTAAATGAGAGACCAATGAAGAGATAGCATAATTGAGATCTATTAGCACCCTCTTCCTACTTGTCCTTTCTCCATGGAACTTCTTTGTTCCTCCACCATCAATCAATTTTTCAAGGCATCTAGGTAGGTGAAGAATGCCTGTGAAACCCCAAGTAGAGACAATTCTGTGACATGTCAAGTGTACTTCGTTTGGA